GATTTTGAATACAGGCCTTCAATCTGCGCGGCCAGTCGTCTATCGCAGCACGAAAGAGGTCCATGTCAATATCGGCGGCTGCCTTAATCAAGGATGTCTTGAGTGACTCCAAATTGGGATGAGGCTTTGAGCACGCCTTTTCCTCCTAGTGTTGCCATATATTGTAATCTAACGGATTCAAATCTGGACTGGAGGAGGGCCAGTCTTCGTGCCGGATGAAGTCGATTTCACGCGCCGCCAGCCAGTCTTGTGTGCTCTTCGCTCTATGAGCTGGCGCCGAATCTTGTTGGAATACCTAGTGCCTGTTATTGAACATGGTATGAGAAACAGGTTCCACAAGGTTCGTCAGGACTGTATTTTAATACACAACTGCATTCGTTTTTACACCTTTCTCACAAAAATGTACCTCTGTTAAGCCCCAATAAGAAACTCCCAACCATACCATGAGCGAGGATGGAAAATGACCTCGTTGGACACGCGGAATACGGTTGCCCGCTTCTTCACTACTGTGTGCGTACACCTTATCATTTTGTTTGTTGTAGCTCTCTTCTACGGTATAAACTTTTTCATTCGAAAAAAGAATATCCCGATATTTTTTTCCCGCGTACCGCTTCAACAAAGCGCGGCATCTCTTCAGTCTCAGGTCCATTAGACGAGCATTCAAACGATGTCCTGTTTTTCTTCGATATGCCCGAAGCTCTTAAGTCTTCATTTAACACCCTTTTCACCGTGGTTCTGCTTAACCCCATCTGAAGGGCCAACAGTTTCTGCTTACGTTTGGGATTTCTTTGAATTCGCGCCTTCACAGCTTTTATCACTGCTAGAGTCCTAACAGACCGAGGGCGACCACTTCTTGACTTGTCATCTACACTAGAGTCTTCATTGTGTCGTTTGAAGGCACGATAAACGAATCTTTTAGATATATTCAAATTTCTCAGTATGTCAAAAATTTGAATTGGCGCGTAACCGCAACGATCGAACGCAATAACTGCAACACGGTCTTCTTTAAGCGTCCACTCCATATTTAATCAAAGAGTATAATAAGTATATACAGGAAAAGAGAGCCCTCTGACGATATTTTATTGCAGACAAAATTGAACTACTAGCGTCTCCTACAAATTGAATCCGAACTAATTCGCTATATATAGCTATATTATGTACATCATATTAATGTAACTATTATGTTCTTTAATTCGCATACTTACTGAAACAATTTTTACTTTTTTTTGTAAAATAATTTATACTTTTAATATTAAAAGTAGGTAAATAGTTTCAATAAGTACACTTCTATTTGTGAGATAATAATATATAAAAAGGGTATTTGCGATGTTACAGGAATGACAATTTAATATGACAATTATTTCATTTTTTATTTTTATATTTTATTATAAAATGCTGGTTGCCAGTATCATAATTGTCATATTTATCGATTGATTCGATAATTATTACGTGTTTTTATGTTAAAATTATAATTTTTTATCAATAAAATCACCAATAATTTTTTGGTGCACTTATTTTTATTTTGTAAGTAAATTTCATTTTATTTTTCCAAAGTAGCGACATCTGTGAAGCCATAAGACCAACTATAAACAAATTATTTTTGGAAACAAGTTATGGATGGCGCCACCATCCATTAAATTTTTGTGGTTCAAGGCAACTGTCCTACGCCTGTATTTAATAATGAGTAAAATTCTAAAAAGTATACAGTTTTATTTTCATGAACAATTCGAAATTCGAATTCAATAAACTTTTTTGTGGTCAGCATTCTAAAAGAAAAGTTTTTACTGTGTGACAATACTTATGACCTGACTAGGTATATATACTACTCTATCTATTCTGATCGTCGGAAGTGATGACGTCAGTTGTAAAATGATCATTTCTTTGCTAGACTTATTAACACCTATTATCTTAAATTTTTCCATATCCACATATTTCTCTACGAAATGGAGGGCGCCCAAATCAAACCTTCACACGAAAAAGCAAATTCCTCAAGATTTTTCAAATATCGTCCTATTTCGATTCTTCTCTTCCTTTCCAAAGTCATAGAACGCCTTGTCCAACAACACAAAATTCCTTTTGTTTAATAAATAGCTTCCTCAATCCTCTCCAATTCGTCATAGTACAACTACGGCGTTATTAAAAAATCACGGACGACATTCGGTACAGTATGAAGAATCATCAAATCACAGTATTTAGTGTTGCTGGATTCAAGCAATGCATACTGCTGATTATGATATTCTGCTAGAGATACTGCTATCTCTTAACATATTTCCAACTGCAATTTTCTTGTTTCACAGTTATTTGTATGGACGCCGGCTACTAATTTGTGTCCAAGATAGACTTTCTTCATGGCTTGATACCGTGGCTGGCGTTCTGAAAGGCGTCGTCTTATCTCCTATTTTATTCGCAATTTTTATTAATACGATTACGTCCTAAATATCTTCTCTCTGCCACTTGTATGCAGATGATCTCCAAATATATTTACAAACAACCAATGAAGATCTTCCGAAAGCAGTTGAATGTATAAGCAAGGATCTGGCTTTTATTTTCGACTGGATTCTATCGTATGGGTTAACTGTGAACCCTTTAAAATTGCCAAGTTTTATGTGGAGAGGTGGTAATAATATATCTTCAGGTCGTACTAATGAAGGATGTTTTACATATTTCTTTCCTGGAGTCAGAGATCGTCTTCTTTGTCATCATCTCATCTCATCTTTCTGAAAATAATGGTTTTTTCGATCCCTACTATCCCATTCACAAAGAAAACAACAGAATTTTGTATACCCAAGTTGCAATCCTAATAATAGAAGGGAAATAACTTTTAAATCTACAAATTTTCCATTTATGTTTTTCATATTGAATATTTTCTAAAAGATATTTCATATTTTCATAGGTTTCTTTAAACTGCATGCTGCTAACCTATCGGTATGGAGGGAAGTTTATTATCAATATGTAACAGAACCGCCTTTAAACTTGTTTTTGAATAAACGCTACTCTTCCATTTTCTATTGTATTTCCAAAACTTTTATAACACCACAAAAATCGTTACAAAATATTAGATTTGTTTTAGCTCTTCATCTCGATGCCGAAAAAAGTTATTTTTGTATTTGGTTGCAACAAATTCCATCCGTTTAATCGAGATCCTAAAAGATCTGCTTCTTGTTTACTTAAATGTAAATCACGAACTAAATCATTGAGATCTTCTTGAGACAGTAGATGTGGCCATTCTTCCTCGAGACAGAGAGATGAAGAAGAAAACTTTTTAAATAATATAGAGTTATAAAAGTAATTTCACCACAAATGTAACAGAACGTCTCAGGATTATTTTTACACGTTCTGAACATGTTTTTTTATAGGATCGGGTGACAAACGAGCACACAGTCCACCTGATGGTAAGTGGTTACTGTGACCCATAGACATCTACATCTATCCTCAATAAAGACTCAAGATGCAGATGCGTTGTCACCCGTGAGGACTAAGATGGAATGCCTCTTTGCCAGTAAAAAGGGTCTCCGGTTCTCTACACTCACCATACGAAACACAGCAGCGTTAAGCTGCTATTTTACGCTGGTTTTCTGTGAGAGCGTGGTCCTTTCCCGGTCGAGCCGACCCATTCGTGCTACAACCATAATATAGCTGCAGCATGGCTCTACCACGTAAAAATTTTTTAAATCATTTTAAAATAATTTTAAGTTAATAAATCACTTTACGCAGCAAACACGAAACACAGTCGCTTTTCTGAAAAACGAAACACTGAATTAAAAAAGCAAGTAAAACATAATTTACATTGATTTTTACTAATAATACACATAATATGTATGATTTTGTAGAGACGTTAGGTAGGTACTTCGAAATAAGTGCACACTTTTCTCGTTACAAAATTTTGTTGACCAGTGTTATTATTTCGCTCTAGTATTCCTATCTTTTCGTCGAGGAAGTGGTTATCTTTATTGAAGTTTTCCTCAAATAATTCCGTATCCTCTCTTAACTGGCCAGTGATTTCTGAACACAGTAAATGTGGTAGGTTTATATGGTAATTTATCACTATATACTTACAACTTTTACTGTGTTTTGACTCTTAAAATTATTTTTATCATGTTGTTTACACCACATCCCTTACATCGCTAACACCTTTTTCGGGCGTCTGAAGACGAAACAAAAATCCTTTATGTGCTTTTCTGCACATACTAATTTTTCTAAACGGTCAAAATACATACGGAATTTGTTAGGATCGTTTTTAGTACGAATATCGCAAAAAGAACTTTATAAACACATAGAGAACGAAAAGGAGATCGTTTAGCACAAAAAATTAATAAATGCACATATGGAATTTGACAGTCGCAGCGACGGTAATGTAGCTGCAGTATGGCTCTACCACGTTTGAACTATAATATATATATATATATATATATATATATATATATATATATATATATATATATATATATATATATATATATATATATATATATATATATATATATATATATATATATATATATATATATAGTTAAACTAAATATTTTTTACATGATAGGGTGATAAACGAGCACACAGTCCACCTGATGGTAAGTGGTTGCTGTGGCCCATAGACATCTACATCTATCCTCGTTTGCAAATCAAAATGCAGATGCGTTGTCACCCGTGAGGACTAAGATGGAATGCCTCTTTTCCAGTAAAAAGGGTCTCCGGTTCTCTACACTCACCATACGAAACACAGCAGTTTTAAGCTGCTATTTTACGCTGGTGTTATGTGTGTGTCCTTCCCCGGTCGAGCCGACCCATTCGTGCTACAACTATACTACTAATATATCTACAGCATGGCTCTACCACGTATAAATATACTACACGTATTCGCTATATGAATTGATTGTTCCAATTTTTATATATCTTTATATGTATTTTAATCGTGTTTAACTTGATACTAGTTACATGATATGTGCACTATGGCGACGGTTTTTATATTGCTGATCAAGCTTAAATTTTTATTTTTATTTCAGATACTGAAAACATCCGGTTTGTGTTCGCCGCAGTCAAAGACACAATCTTGCAGTCCAACCTGAAGGAGTACAACCTCGTGTAAGCGATGCTGACGTGTTCGCTGACACAAATCTGTGATTGTGTATAACATAATGTAATTCGAACATCATCACTTCACAACAAAGTGTAAATTCAAGAACTGAGATCGGATGGACAAACCTATTCGTCTTAAAATGATTTATGAGAAAGTAAGGTTAGATTGTAAGTCATTTAACCCGAAACCGACTCGAATAGGGTGCGGTATACCGCTGCACTCCGTCGGACAACATTCGTTCTCGATCCGAACGGATCGCTTCACGACACGTCAGGTTTTTTGACATGTTTTTTTATGAAGAAGTTATTCACAACTTATGTATGTGTCTGTATCGGTGAATATTAAATTGTGCATTTTAAAAGTTGTGGTGAGTCCTTGGCCTTACCATGAGCTGCTTTTAGTCATTGTTTTAGGATTTTGTAAAGTTTGTTGCCATAATATCTTTCTACATTTAGTATACATTTATGTCCAGACGGATGGATTTGAACAAACTAGTCCAATGAACTTACGCGTGTTTCACGTCATCCTTGTGGGTCGAAATGGGACTTTCAGTTTAATCAATCGGGATGCTTCCGTGTTAACTATTACGTATTTATTTAAATTATGAGATGTTTGGTGGCAGTTGCGTTCGGTCCTTAAAGTAAAGATGCACTGAAGAGATGGCTAAGGTATTTCACGGGTACTACTTCGGTTCGGGGCCAATATATACGTCCGTAGTATATAAAAATATCTAGATCTGTCAACCACAGTATTTGTGTTTGAAGCATCGAGAACGCATTTTGTATGCTTGGAGTCTATCATTTAAGTAGTTAAATATTTTTGTCAATGATTTATTGTTCATGTAAACAAATGGTACTGGCAAAATAAATAAAAAATGTACTTCTACCTAATAGATCAACAAGAAACTTTAGAATTATGGTATTTTTAGTTAGAAAACAATATCTGTAGCTACATTTACATATTCCCCATACTATAAAAAATTTAGCACTGCCTTGTCCGAACCTCGGCCATCTCTTCATTGTTCGAATTCAACACTAACGTTTGTTCTATTAGCTTGAAAGATTTATTGTATTTTAATAATATTGCGTTACTTTTGTACATTGGAATTTTGTTACTTGATATGTGTTATATGTTATTATTTAAGCTGTTTATATTTAACTATGGCGTTTTTCTAAACGAATTGACTTCACGCAAAATGTTTTTACGTTTAACTGTAGGCTTTATGTACGCAGTTGTCTGGTGTATTTCGTTTCTTCCTAACGTTATCCGTGTACGAGAATTTCATTCAGCAGTATATCCAGCAAAGTTTACTGTGTTAGTTGTGTAAGGACATTTTTGATGCATTTGATATAAACTTTTTTTACTAGAAACCCAAGGGATTCAATAATGCGGAATGTTGATTGTAAAAACCGATACCGAAGTTTTTTGCACAAAAGCTTTTACCACTGGAATGTAATATATTGTACATTTGGGTCTAAATGTGCTGAGTGAATTGAGCCGACAGCTCAATGCCAAGTTTTGCTATTGGCATAAATTATTGCACAAATATACACGTCCCTCAATATTTTAGAGATTTTTTATTATGCTATGCTTAATTTAGTGTGTTGCTTCGTGTTATTATTTAATTATTTTATGTATAGTAAGAAACAAAGTTTCTATTATAAAGAGATAACTTATTATTGTATTAACTTATTTGTTGTTGTGACTTGATTTTTCTATTTACCGTTTAAGCGTTACAATTTCGAGAATTAAGCATACCATAACAGTCGACACTGTCAATAGCAAAACTATTTGCTTTAAATTAAGATACAGCTGTCTCAAATGCTCAAAATATGGTGAATTTGAAACTTAGCGCACAATATTGGAATATTTCTATTGATGTTACCCATTAAAGTGCAATCTGTGTATGCCCTGTACATAGAACTGTATTTCATTTGTGCAATTGTACAGCAATATTGATTGATTTGGAGCCCGGCGTGCGCACTTCCGTTCGACAGCGGCGCGCTGCGACTCGGCGGCCGATCGTATCGCATAGCGTTTAGAGACACCTACAAGGGATAATATCTCTTGTTTGCCAAAGCGAATATGTTAAATGCCTTCATAACTAATAGTAATGTACAGACTGATCTTATAGTTTTCTTTTCCATATTTTAAAGGGTGTAAGTAAGGGGAACCACTCGTTAGCACCGCTATGTGGACTGTACGTGTACCGTATAGACGCGGTCGTTCGCCGGTCGACGCACGCGTACGCCGTGGATTCGTAACTTCCATACGAATGGACTGAATTTTCGTGTAACTGGGTGTGATTCTTACCTGATTTTTTTACGGTGGGCGATGACTACATAAAATATTGCTAAAACTATATTATAGTCTAACGTTGCTTTACCTTTTGCGTGAGATTGTGAGAATTTTAGCTTAAGTTTCGACTGAAGATGGATGCCTGTATGTAATATTGTAAATTATAATTTCTCATAAAATATAATTTTTTTCAGCTAAGTGCGTCGTTTTTTTGATATCCATTTTTATTGACTACCTGCTAGCAGCTAGTCCAATTTTACATGTAAGATACAAATTCATTTATCATTCCAGAGTCTTATCCACATATTATTGTCACTTTTTTGGCGTAATGATATATTTTTTATAATTGTTTTTTTTTTATTTATTTGGAAATGAAAGTAAATATGCATAAATATCGGTAATAAATGAGTGACAGCGCCGCAAGAGCAGACATCATAATCCATCATCTTGACTCTGTGGGTCATTTCCAGCAAGTCAATTTCAAATTTATTGGATTTTAATAGACATCGAACATGATAGATATTAAACACCACTTTCACAATTCATTGACTCCAGATCGCTACACCATCAAAAGTCTGTTTCTAGGGCAGGCGGAAAAGTAGGTAAGGACCTTAGCGCCAGGTACAGACTGGAATAACCAACCTTTTACGGTGTGGTTTTATATAACAAAGTCTATCAATCGTAATCAATACCAGAAAAATAAAAATAAAACATATTTTTTAAACATTTTTATTTATTATGATTATGCACAGTGCACACACAGAGTTATTTTGCAATGCATGCCCAAATTTGCAGAGGAGGTTCAGAATAAGTAATATAGGCAATTTGTGATTTTTTTTAAAATAAAAAACGTGTGTAGTCCACACGTGGTTGAAGTGGAACCTTCCAATTCAATGTAATATAAAATAAAAATATTTCACGGCAAATGATTTATTTATTACTATGGTGTCAAGAACACAGCGCTTAAACTTATTATTTCATATTTAAGTAATAGAAAACAGAAGGTTATTATCAATGGTAAAAGTTCTTCCGGGTCACCTGTACTAATGGGTGTTCCTCGGGGCTCGATTCTCGGCCCATTCCTGTTTCTGGTGTATATTAATGACTTACCTCACCTTGTAGGGGATAGTCATGATATAGTATTATTTGCTGATGATACTTCCTTGATTTTTAAACTTAAACGTCAATCATTTAAATGTGACGAAGTGAATAAAGCTATATCAAAATTCTTCAATATAAGTTATTAAGAATAACTCAATAACTATTGGTCTGACCTTGATCTAATTCATATGGACCACACGAGAAGTATCAGCTTTCAAATAAAAAAAAGAATCATCGAAATCGGTTTACCCAGTAAAAATTTATGAGGTAACACACATAAAAGAAAACGTACAGTCGAATTGAGTACCGTCTCCTTTTTGGAAGTCGGCAGAAAATAGCAGATCTATGGAGAATTTCCGTTAAAGTTATTGCGTCTATAATAGATGTAATCGCATTTGGTATGATTCTTGATTAATAAAACATAGTAAGGTTATTCATTTATTTAAATCTGGTAGTACATTATAACCCACAAATTATTGACCCATTTCTGTACTGCCAAACGCTCAGTAAAATTAAAATAAAATTATCGTAAATCAAATATTAAGTTTTTTTTTTAATGTAAATAAATTACTCTATCAAAATCAGTTGGTTTTACAAGGAGTCGCTCAACAACTGACACCGGTGTTAAGCTGATTAAACGATGCTTTGGGTATATTTTGTTATCTTTCCAAGGCTTTCGTCTGCGTTCACCACGAGTCAAACAAATTTGACGAAATTGCACAACACTTGCAAATCATAATATCATCGGATACGCGATAATCATAGAAGCCTATTTCTTTGGTATTTGCTTCTTTGTTTGTTGTTACCCAATAAAGGACACTTTCCAGATCTATTTTCTCTGATAGTACCAGTTACACAAAATCCCCTCTCAGTCAGTTCATGAACCGAAGGCAAACCGATAAAAAAGTTGTCTATGAAGAGATTTAAGTACTGATTTACCATATGCTCAGCGGTGAAGAAAAACATCGTGCGCAAACCTGCGTTTCTAAGAAATTAATTCACTAAAGTAATATTATGACTACAGCATAAAAGAGTCGGCCGAGTGAAGTCTAGGTTTGCTCAGAACGCCAGCGTAAAATAGCAGTATAATGCTGATGTGTTAACAAAAGTGATAAGAAACGGTAACCTTAGGTATTTATTTTTAATGAAACCTAGGACCTCAAGGGTGACCAACTTCGTTTGTCATCCACAACTACACGCACAAAAACAACCGGCAGCAGTATGCAACAAGGAGCAAGAGTATAGTAACCATAAGGTTTTTTTTTTTCAAACATTAAACCGACTTCAAAACTGCCCATACTAGAGTTTGCTAGTAGGGATACCCGTGACGATGTAGGAATAATACCAACCCCGCTCCTAATGCCAGCCTTTTCGCCTTTTTAATTCATAAATAAGGTTTCTAATGGTCTTAACTACAAATATTGACAACTAAAAAATTCTTCGCCTTAATAGGAAAGTATAATTTAATAATAATAATAATAAATCTTTATTTCGGATAACAAATGAGATCCATATCACAGATATTAGAAAAATCACAAATAATAATAATAGTACAGCTAGGTGGACGGAGAAAGTAAAATGACACGCACGCACGTACGCATTCACGCATACACATACGCACGCAAGCACACACGCAGGTAAGTCATCCATGCAGGACGTTAATAATTTGCCTTATTATAGGACAGTCATGCTTTTGTGTTATAACACCCAGGATACTGTTGGAGTTATTCCTTGTTCTGCTTAGTAGCGATGCGGCTTTTTTGCGCATTATCGCTTCAAACCCGTCAGTGCGGGCCTCACAGAACATGCCTGAAGCGCTGCAGTAGCGGGGCAGCCCCAAAAGAACTCTAAATGAATTGTTATATTGCACCTTTAATGCTTTATACGCCCTTTGTGTGTAGTTGACCCAAAGGGAGCACGAATAGAAAGACTGGCAGTATGCCTTAAAAAGAGTTATTTTAACGGCATTACTGCATCGTGCAAACCTACGGGCTAACATATTACTCCGGGTCGCTAAAGCCCTACGGTCCCTCTCCATGTCCATTTCATCACGCAAATCCTCGGTCACGTAGTGTCCCAAGTATCTGAATTGTGATACCCTCGATAAAGCAGTGTTGTAGTCTGATAGGTGGTATGTACGTGGGACTCTTGTTATTAGCTTTAAAGAACACTAACTCACTTTTCTTTATATTATAAATTAGACCGTGTTCATTTGCATAAGCCTCACAGATTCCCAGAAGCTTTCTGAGCGCACTGACCGAGGGACTCAACAACACCATGTCGTCCCGCAACATGGCAACCGACCTTAGTGCTGCTGAGTCTCTCGAGCAGCTCATTTATATACAAGTTTAAAAGTTGAGGTATTATTCCACCTTGTCTCACGCCACATTTATTATTTAAATGAGCGTTGTGATGTGTGTGTAATGTTAAACATTACACACACATCACAACGCTCATTTTATTTAACGTTTATTTTTGACAAATTATGGACCCGATAAAATTAGGCTTAACCGATTCGTTGCGGCACCAATTTTCGACAACTTTTAGCTGTGGCGGCGAACAAATATTTCATGACACGTCGGGCGTGTCAAGCGCCACAGACAACACGCCTATTGTGCCATCCGCCATGTGTAAAAGTAATGTTCTTTTTTATGCTTTTTTACCTGTTTAGACCTAATTAAGTTTATTTGACATCAAACATAAGTTACAAGTGGAAGGATACTGGTGGGTAACTACGTGTTTTTTACGCGTTTTCTTTGAAATTGAAAGAAAGTGACTTTTTTTGTGAAGAGATTACAAACCTTTTGTTGTTATAAAAAATCATTTATATAAGTCTAGATACAGCTAAATCACCCTGGAAACCTTGGTTTTTATTAAATTAAATTTTCACCTAATAATAACATTTGTAAATATCAAACAATGAAGAACCTTAATTTGGAAAAACAAAAGGCATATCATTCATTGATATTTACAAATATTAAATATTATTTAATGTTATACAAATGTAAAAGTAAAGTCGATCTAAAAAAGAAAACGTCTAATTAGTAAGAATAGCAAAACAAGTGTTTTCAAAAGGAAAAAAAACGCCGGCGCTATACGGCGGCGGATTGACAAAAGACTATTTATTAGCGAACTTTTTTTATGCATGAACGGTTTCGAACTGTTTCAAGCAAAAACAAACCTTATACCATATCACAAGAGCACATGGTACTTCGTAGGTCTATTCGGCCATATGATAGTAATAAGACGGCAGTTCAACCATTTTAAGCAAAATTAAACAATAAGACAAACGCATTGTTTTTTTTTAACAGGAGACTTGTTTTCCAGAATCTATTTACAACTTGAGTTTGTGAGCGATCGCAATGAGTGCTACTATTTGTTACTTATTAGACAATTTTTCCATAACATTATTTAAAACCCACGAAGTAAAAATTTTTTTAACGTTTAATCTTTAGGTTTTGTGAGTCAGCATCATCATCATATGTAATTAGCCCTTCACAAGTCCACTGCTGAATATAGGCCTCCCCTAAGGAATGCCACAAACAAAGCACGGTCCTGACCAACCTGCATCCATCGACTTCCTGCATGTTTTACCAAGTCGTCATGGAGACGCCCTACACTTCGTCGTACTTGCGAGATTGATATTGCAAGCATCCCTACTAGCAGACTAGTATGGGCACATGAGTAAAGAAACTGTACAGAGGCAAAGCTTCTATGAAGCTGTCAAAATTTTCACCTATTTTGGTAGGGCTGGCACAGGAGGATAAAACTAAATAAACAAAACGTATATCAGCATTTTAATAGATAGGGTAAAGGTTGGCTTTATGGTGATAATAAGAAAAAAACTTAAAATTTTATTTCAAAATTAACATTTATTAGAAAACCTCTTTACTTATTACAATAATCAGACTTTTCTTTTCAATAATTATTAATCACAGCAACTTAAATTCTTAAACATTAATAGGAAAATCAGATCAAACAAATCTTTTTAGTGTTGGCTATATGGAGATACGGGGGCAATTTGGTGATACCATATGTGGCAATATGGTGACAAGTCTATTCAGGTGCCCAATCAATCAGTGCCTGAAAAGTCTACTTTATCACAATTATCACACAGGAACTGTGGCGACTCTGTGCCAGTACATTCTTGGTGGCCGCAACTCATGCACTCTACCCATACAGCTCCGTTCCTAAGTGCCACATCTTGGGAGTAGTGAACACCGCAATAGTCACACATCGTACTTTTATTTGATTTTGGTGTTTTCTCTACCTTGACTCTTGGTAGTTTACGCTTCAGGTTGCTTTCAGTTGAAGGTGCAGGAGTTGGAGAAGCAGAGGGGACACGAATCGAGGTAACGGTCTCCTCACTGGTAACGGCGACTGTGGTTTCGTTTGATATGGCGACGATGTTTTCTTCAGGACTGTCCATGTTGTTCGTGCTTTGAGGTGTTAAATATCGGGTCTGTGGATTCCGCTTAGCTCGTCGGGTACTAGAAGAAGAAGACTGTGGTACCTCAGGAACGGAAAGTAAAGAGAAAACTGAAGGTGACGCAGTTTCACGATTGACAGCAGAAGCTTGGGCATTATCAGTGGAAGGTTCAATATTCTGTGACTGTAGGTCACTTGGCTGCATCAATGATGGGGCAATACTTTCATCAGAAATGGCATTTCGATCAAATGGCGCAATGCCAGTTTTTCGAAAGCCGTTCATAATTATTGACGGCTGAAATGCATGCTCGTAGGCTGGTGTTAATAGGCGACAAAAGTCAAGCCTTGTTGGAGCACTCGTTGGATGTTGAAGCTTATAATCATTTAGCACTTTAGCCCATGCATTTTTCAGTGACTTGTAAACAGAAACGTCCAGAGGTTGCAGGAGATGGCTTGTGTGACTTGGAAAAGTGAATAGATGAATGCCATTTTTTGTAGCGAAATCTATAACATCTTGGCTGACATGGGTAGAGTGAGAATCCATGATTAAAAGTACCGGTCTAACTGGTGGAATATGAGCTTCAAAATGATGCATCCACTCCAGAAATAGTTCAGAGTTAATCCATCCGTTTTTGGATAATCTCACGATAGACCCTTCCGGAGCACCATTCGCTAGATCATTGACCATTCGGACACCTTTAAAAATGATCAAGGGGGGTACAGACGCTCCGCTCGCACTACAGCACCCAAGCACCGTTTGTGTGACACCTTTCTCTGCAAAAGTTCTACTGTAAATTACCTTCTTTCCAGTTTGAGTGACAATTTTTGACGGTTTTACGACGAACGTTACACCGGTTTCGTTGCAGTTATAAATCCTTTCAGGCTTTTACAGAATATCCAGCTCAATAACGACGTCCAGTAGCTTTTTATAAAAATCGTCAATGTTTTGTCTGTTAGCAGTAACAGCACGGCATGCTGCAAGCTTTTCTGGCGTGCGCAATGAAAGCCCGTACCGTTCTTTAAACGACCACCACCAATAAGGTCCAGCTTTACGTTTAGCATCGTTAAACTGGTGATCTTTTCCTGCTTGGACTGCTAAAGCGTAACATTTAGCTTTGATGTCTGTGACGCTGAGACCAAATCCTAGTTCTTGCATTTTAATTATGTAGGAAACAAACTTACATTCAAGGTCGCTGTCTAATGTGAATGGTCTCCCAAGTTTAGGTAAGTCGAAACTTTCACCTCCATGAGTAGCTATGTGTCTTCTCAAAGTAGACCACGGTATGCCATATTCCTTTGACGCCTTCTACACTGACCAATTATCCTTTATAACTTTCATATAAGCCTCCTTGAAGCGTGAAGAGTCATAATTTCTGAGTTTCTCGCCCTTCATTTTCCTTTTATTTGCCTTTCCGGACTTGTTCCTGTAAGAAAAATCATCCAATACGTATAACCCGGACTAATGAAACACAACCCGATATTTTTTTTAACAGAAAGATACAACATTTCGAGCTTCATCTACCCTGAAAACCCCATTCAAATTAAGCTTGAAATAAAATAAAAATAAGCTATGTAATGTTTTTGGTAATTTGGTGATATTTACGTACCGATTATCCTCCATTTTTTCGCATATTTTGGCGCGAAACAAATAAACCGCGTCCGGTGAGGACAGCGACCAGCGGCCAAATGAAAGAGAGATGAACATACTCGCCTTCAGTTCATTGAATGAACGCAAAACTCGCGCTGGGCATTATAAAGACCGTTGAAAGCAAAATTATCACCATATTGCTATATAATATCACCATTTAGCCAACCTTTACCCTACTTGAGATATAATATTTTTTTATAAACTACGTATTCTAACTGTTTTACTTGTATAGTTATTGTTCTTCAACAATTACATGTGCCTTTTAATTAAATGGTAAATTCTAAATTTAATGTAAAGTTTTTTTAAAGTAATCTATTGGAAAGTACTCGCATTTCATAACAGATATAAAATCTTGCACACGTTTTAATATTTACAATGTTTATTTCAAGGTCAAAATATTCGCGAAATTTTTACTCATGCAATTCAACAAACGCAATAAAATTGTGAGGAA